CCGTGCGGCTCTGAGAGCCCCGGGGCACGGCCGGTCCCCGTGCCAGACCGGGAGCAGCTCTCACGGCCAGTCCCGGCACGGCTCCAGCAGCCCCGGTGCCGCTCCGGGAGTCTCGGTGCCGGCCCGGGATCGCTCTCACGGCCAGTCCCGGTGCAGATCCCGCGGTCTCTGTGCCGGGCACGGAGCACGCTCCGTCCCGGTGCTAATCCAGGAATCCCAGTGCCCCTCACACGGGCGGAAACTCCCGGTGATGCTCTGCAGGCTGCCCCGAGAGCCCCACGGCACAGCCGGTCCCGGTGCTGGCTCCAGAACCCCAAATCCCCCCTGAGCCCGGGGTCCAGCCGAGCCCAGGCTGTGCAGGGAATTCCCATTGCTCCAGAGGAACCCACGGACAGCTCCCTGCCCCACGGCTGGACCCCGCCATGTCCCCACTGTCCCCCTCTCCCGCATGTCGTCAGAGGTCCCCAAGGGGCTGCAGCAGTCTGGCCATGACCTTAAAGCCCATCCAGTCCCACCCTGTGCCATGGGCAGGGCCACCAGGCTGCTCCCAGGCTCGTCCAGCCTGGAACACATCCAGGGGTGGGAAATCCACGAGCTCGATCCCGGTGGCCTCAGATGCTCCCTCCATCCTTCAGGACACCAGCTGTCACTCAAGCTGCCTTTTATTTAAGTTCACAGGTAAATAAAAAGTATTTTTACCTCCTGTGGCCCTGTCGCCACAGCTGCAATAATTTAATTTTTCATTTACTCCGTCGCACCTCGGTGCAACACTGCAGCAGGGACACAGCAGGTTGCAGACGCACCAGTGGCCTTGGCTGTTATTTTAAAACCCAGGCTTTTGCAACAGGAACTTTTTAAAAAACCACGCGCTTGTAACAGGAACTTGGCAAAGGAAATGTGGGGCACGGCAAACTGGAGGGCTGCGGTTTGTGACAGCACCTCCATTTCTCAGGGGCCACTCCCAGCCTGGCTCTGCTTTCTCCTCTCACACAGCTCAAGAGCCTCTTCAGCCTGGTGGGGAGGACGAGCTGAGGGTGACGTGGCAAAGCCACAGCCCTGTTCCCATGCTCAGATCGATGGGTGGGACGGAGGGGATGATGCTGTAGCTGCCCCAGAACCACCTCAGCACAGGTGAGCCAGGAAAATACATTTTCAACCCTGCTCCCAGTCCTGATGCAGCAGAGCAGCCGAGCACACGGACACGGCTGCCGGTGGGAGCCATCCTGTTCCATTCCAGAGGCTTGGGTGGCACCCTGCCCCTCGTTCAGCCCTCTTCGTGCCTCCCAAAAATTCAGCTGAGGCTGGATCCTGCCCTGATCCATGCAGGCAGCTGCAGTCTGCCCACCCTGAGCCCTTTTCCGAGCAGCAGGCACCCTGTGGGGTGCTCCAAGGCTTTTCCCAGCCTCCCGCTCCTTTCTGGCGCTCCGTGTCACAGCTCAGGAAGGGCTTTTGGCTTCTTCTCATTTTCCTGGCAGCTAATGGAGCCTTAAATACCCTTCTGGGGCTTCAGGCTTCTCCACTGACAGTTGTCTCTGATGGGATTTTTCTGTAATAATAGGAAAATTGCTGGGCTTTTGTTTTTTTCATTCCCCCTTCTGTGCTGGAAAGCAGGAACAGGCTGCCTGGTACAATCTGTCCTGCCTTGGGAAGTGTTTGTTTTCTTCCCGTGGCTTCCATGTTTAGCTCGTGTCCTGCCTCTAGCGAGGGCCATATCAAATCCCAGAATTATTGAAACTGGAAAAGTCCTCTAAGACATTAAGTTCAACCATTGTCCTAGCACTGCCAAGGCCACCACTGACCCATGTCCCCATGTCCCCAAGTGTCACATCCTCAAGGTTTTTAAATCCCTCCAGGGATGGGGACTCCACCACTGCCCTGTGCAGAGAGATTTTCTCCAACACCCAGTCTAAGCCTCTCCTGGTGCAA